TACGTAGATACACAGAATATGGAACATAGGTCATCAATTAGAAATTGTAAGTGTGCTCTTATATTGATTATACAGAGGGACATGAAACTTCATTTCATTTTTCCACTAAGGTAGAAAACAATGTGACATAAACTGTGTTGGGTTTTCATTTTCGACATTGTTGGAGAAGTGGAAATTGAAGCTTTTCATTTCCTGATATTCATACAAAGGCCAGAAGACGTCTTTACAATAAGATGTCAATACAATTTATGTCTTGTATTTCATTTTAGGTTTAGAATTCCATTTGTTGTAACCTGTAACAGTTAGCTGAAAGCAGATATTGACTTAACATCTAACCAACTGTTTCTAACCTAGATCTATTGGACGGTATCAAAGATAATCTGACAAAACATTTGACTGTTCTCAGATTGTAAACCCAGAATTCCAAATGTTAAATTCAAGGTTAGTGGTGTGAATTTGAATTATTTTCAAACAATTATAAACTATAATAACCCAATAAAATACGAAATATTTTCAGTTTAAAAGTCAAGCATCTTAATTGTAGGATCAAGTGAGCAGAAAAGGATGACATTCTTTCAGTAATGATTATAAAATTTCAGAAAAGGAAACCAGTATGCCAATATACACTGCCATAGAACTATACACTGCAATCATATCTTCGCATAGAATTTGTCACGGTGTATAAAGTGTCATGAAAAAATAACAATATAGATTAATACAGTAGTCAAACATAGTATTAAATAATGATTTCTTAATTTTGAAGATATATTTACTTAAAATGTTGATAATGATTAGTAACTCCTGTTTAATTATGACCAGGGTTGAAAGAAAACCTAATTGATTTGAACACCAAATTGCCCTTTTCTGGTTGTATTTCTGTAGAATTATTATGGGAATAAAGCCAGAAGTGTTTTGTGATTTAAGAAAGCTAAACCTTTCTAAGGAGGTTTTGTGATGCAAGAAAGCTAAATTGTTTTGGGATGGTTTTACGTTTAACAAGAAAGCTTAACTGTTCTCGGATGGTTTTGTTAAACAAGAAAGCTAATCTTTTCTGGGACGGTTTTGTTAAGCAAGAAAGCTAAAAAAAGCTAAACATTTTTGGGATGGTTTTGTGAAACAAGAAAGCTAAAAGAAAGCTAAACTTTTCTGGAATGGTTTTGTGTTACAAGAAAGATAAACTTTTCCGGAATTGTGTGGTGTTCCAAGAAAGATAAACTTTTCTGATTGTAGGATGCCTAATTGATATCATAAATAAACCAAGTACTAGAAACAAATCGAGTAGGCCTACTAACGATCCAAACCGGAAATCGAAACCCGAAATCCAAAACCACATTTTGGCGAAACGTTGGTAGCAGATAATGAACTTTTCACATGATGAAGTATATCAACCACAAGTGAGTAAGTATTTCATAATGAAAAACACCCGTTATAGCTGCCCAACAAACAGTTCAAATAGGAACGCACCAACAAAAGAAATAGCGACTTGACGAATCTAAAAAGTTCAAAGGACGTAACCCCAATACATTTCCCCAAAGACAGGACAAAGACCAGTAATTCAATATCAACATCCGCTTGACTGTCACTGCACACAAACCGACTATTTTTAGATTTCGTGGAAGGGAGGGTTTGATTCTCCCAAATGTACAGGCCTAGGGTGGAGCAGACACTTTATTTAGAAATTAGGATTAAGGGTCTTGATATTGGGTTTTCTTCTGTTCTTATTCTGATCTGAAATTAGAAAAAATAACTCGCCCGATGGGCGAGAAGTATAGTATCTGTTATGTACTGATTGTTTTTAGTTTACTATGAACAATATTATCATTTAAGTTCTTATTTTTTGAATATGCAACTATCATTTTCTGCTTATAGACATGGGGGAATTTCTCTTGAAGGCTCTTATAGTGGGCATGAACTATCTTGCTTGCTCGATTGCTGGTTGTATTAAACGGGACAACAAAGGGTGCTATGCTTGCATTATGATGAATATTTAGTCCTATAGGTCTTGCTGTATTCAATGTCTCAATCCAATGGGCCTCCCTAGATTGACGGAATTTGGTAGTTTCATCTTCGAGCAAGTCAATTTCTATACGCTCAATTGAGATTAGGGTGAGATCGTCTATTGAATGGTCGTCGAGGTTGAAATGATTAGAAACAGGCTTGTCTTTCTTTAATTTGATGTCTGACCTATGAGCATTAAAGCGAGTTCGTAAATTATTCTTAGTTTCTCCTACATATTGTTTGGGGCATTTCTTGCATGAAATTAAATATATTACATTCGAATGTTCACATGTTAGATGTTCCTGGATCGGGTACCTTTTATTCGTAGAGTTGGTTACAAAATAATGAGTTTCTGATATAAAGGGACATGTTTTGCATCTACTGGACAAACATGGAGCACTTCTTAAACCTGGAGGTACTTCGGCATAAAGTCTGTTTTTAGCTGCTATCTGTGCTAAGGTGGAATTTTTTATGTTTCGTAAAAATCGTTTAGAGTACCCACGCTCTTTCAGTTTTGAGAAAACAATCGTACAGGCTTGGTTGAAATCAGAAGATCTTGTACAAATTCGATGAAATCGTAAAACTTGTGACTTAATTATACCAGAAAAGGTCTGTTTTGGGTAAAAGGAGCTCTTGTGCAAGAGTTGATGAGTATCAGTTTCTTTGAAATACACTTTAATATCCAGTTTATTTGTTTCTGCTATGGAATCTCCCTTAAAGACTGTGGTATCGAGAAAGTCTATGCTTTTGTCACTCACGTTTGCGGTTAGTTTGATAGAAGGATGGTGGTTGTTGAGAATTTCAAAGAATTCCCAAAACTGTTCGATAGAAGTCCAAACCATAAAAATGTCATCCAAAAAGCGTCCGTAAAAAAGTGGGTCAAATGGACAGAGGGGCAACACCTCACGTTCCCACTCTGCCATGAAAAGGTTTGCGTACGAAGGGGCGAATCGTTTGCCCATTGCTGTCCCTGAAGTTTGTAAATATGTTTTACCATTAAATGTGAAATCGTTTCGACTAAGACAAATCTCTAAAAGCTGTAGAATTGCATCGTCGGGTCTGTTCGGATCTGGGTTTCTATTAAAAGCTTTACAAACTGCCGTTAAACCAGTAGTGTTATCGATATTGGTATACATAGAAGAAACGTCGATAGAAATTAAAATAGCATTAGAGGGAACTCGAAGATTTTTTATTTTATTGACAAAATCGATTGTCTTTAAGGTAGGCGCGATGTTGGCATGCTAGAGGTAGTAAGAAATGATCAATGTATTCTGACACTGCATATGACTCACTACCACAGTCAGATATAATCGGGCGGCCTTTAGGGATTTT